TAAGAATTAAAACTTTTCACACGAGTTTACCAATTTTAGTGAAACTTTCAGAGGGAAAAGTATCTCAAGTCAAAGACAGGATTTCTGACCAAGGTCAGAAAAAGAGGCCTGGCCAGCATTCTGGGATATACATACTAGCCTGGAATGTCAAAGAAAACATTCAGTGAACCTGAGGCAGTGTTTGTAAAGTTGCAAATGCAACATTGTACTTACTCAAATACCTATATTTTCTAGATTGTTACCAGTACGGAAGCTGCTTGGGTGCATAAGACTCCTGGATGTTGACTCAAGTTACGACCTTTACAACATGAATGCTGTCACAGCATTCATAAAGAGCCATCTTTCCTGTGCAGGTCGGAAGTACAGAGCTGGATGAAAGCCCAGTATGCCTATAAACCTCAGTCTTAGGGAACATGTAAATAGGAGCTTATCATGAGCATAGAGAAGCAACAACTGGAACATTGCCTAAGGACTGTGGAAATTGCTCTCACAATATCTATTTGATAATGAAGTTACACCAATGACTTCAGTGAAATTATCCTTATTTTACACAGGGGTCAGAGAAAAGTGAAGAAGCCTAAACTGTAAAAACCTACCTTGTACATCTTATCACGCAAATTAAATTAAAAACCCCCATGGAAATAGTCCAAAGAACTTTCTCTGCATGTGGCTGTAAGTCACTTAAATCACTCACTCAGACGGGATAATGGCCATTATTTTTCACTTGGCCAGTTCATATTGTGACACCAGGAGAAAGACAGTCTGTCAAGTTTTTGTCTGCAGTGTCTAATTTTTCACCACACTGCTCCTGCCCTCCCTCCATTGTGTCAGGAGTGCATTAGGTGTTGGAAGGGCAAGGAGAGACTCAACCAGTGGATGGAGAGGCTGTAGTAGGGGAACTGAATAGTAGGCAGCCTGTGGAGTCTGAGAGGCTGTGCTGTTTCTCTTTATGGCTGATACGTATCTATGTCCCCATACCGTATTACATGGAAGGGATTAGAAAAAGGATTTCTGATGTTTCAGCTGACATGTCAGGAGAGATCATTTCATGCAACTATGTTGCAACCTAAATTCAAATATTCTGCCTTTTAAAGGGATTGTATATAGTTTCATCTGTACTCTTCGGCTCAGAACCGTATTCTGCAGTGACTGATACTGCAATGAAATGCACTTCAAAGGGCCTGATTCATAGGTAATGTTTTGTATCTGTAGGTGCACTTTACTCACTTCCCAGTGACATAAATCACTACATGAAATAGGAATAAGTGTTAAAATAGCTCCGAAATCTACGTGTATTGCAGTTTGTAAGTTTGGAAGTTCCTTTGCAAATAAAAGAATCAGTGTGGTGAGGGGTTTTTTTTGGTTTTTGGTTGGTTGCTTGGTTTGCTTTGTTTTTTAACCAATGCCAAGAAAATAAATAAAGTAACAGAAAAATAACGGGAAGTGCAAGGTATCAAAGCCACAGACTACAAATATAAATAATACTGCTGCACATAAATCTTAAACAGCTTACTGCAACTACTAGTGTAACTTTACAGTATTTACAAGTTTAATCTTTTAAAAGAAAATTACAGGATCATAATATCAAACAAGATTATGCTATGTCCTATACAGTATTTCACTATACATACAGCAGTAACAGGACAGCCAATATGCACTTGAGCAATATCAAGTAACTATTGCATGAAGATGGTAACACTGCATGCCAAATATTAAGCACAGCCACAAATCTTATGACCATCTGAATTCCCCTCAAAAAACTCCTGACAGCCTCATTGTATGTCTAATGGGAAATGTATAATTTTTCCCGCCTTCATATACATATGCACTGAGTATACCAAGTATAATATATGGATATAAGATTTTCAAACTCTTGGCTGCTGAGGCAGTCGAAAATCCAGAAACACTAAATGCAGAAAATAACCTTGGATCCTGCCTTTGTGACAGAATAAAGGCACTTTTGCTAGGTTATTTGCATTTCTAGCACCCTTGCAATGGCCTTTTCCATGTTGAATTCATGCAGTGCACAGACTCCACCAGATATTTAGCATAGCTCTGTTGATTCGGATGAGCCTTGTGCTACAGTATTTTTTGCTAAGGGTCTGGTTCCTTGTTTTTAAAGCTTGTCCAGCATGAGAGACAAATCTCCCAGTGAAAGCAAGCAATATCACCATAAGAATCCAGTTAGCTGCTTAGACCAGTAGACACCCTTCTTCTGGAGCACTGAATAGTGATAAAAATATTATATTAATTAAAAAGTTTTGCTTGCCCAAAGTGCTAGGCAGTAAAGAAAACCAAGCTTCTTCTCCCTTCCAAAAGTCTAAAACCCTTTGATTTATGCCATTATTTTATAACATGGCCATGTAATGACCTTGTTCAACAGAACAAATACATTGAAGAGAAGCCCAGTTTGGGCCTGCAATTACATACCTGCTTACACATTAGAATGTTTTTGTCAGAAACATAAGCTCCATCCCATTATGTTGCAGCTTCCAGCTTCACTAACCCACAAATAGATACTGTTTGCAGTAAAGGGACCATGCACATGTTTATATGACATACAACAAAAGACCTTGGTTCTCTAGAGGACATTCCTGTCACTTTCCCTTCTGTGGCTCCCCAAGCAAAAGCTGTTGCCTTGACAACTCTGTGGCATTCTCTGGCTCCATATATGCTGGTAGGAGGAAGGCCAATTTCCTTCCACAGGAAAGAACTGCTAAGAAATAAACAATTAAAAACTGTTATGATTCCCTCAGCACTGCCAAAATGGGAAAGAAAATGAAGGATCTTATTACAGACACAGGATTTTGTAAGCCAGAAGCAGAAGAATTCAAGCACTGAGGATTCATAGCACAAGTGGGATACGGAAGAAATTGCAGTTACTTGAGACCAGCAAAACACTGGGAATGGCAATGGCTAAGGTCAGGCTAAGGTTCTTCTCTTTGATCAGCTTCCTATAATTGTAAGGCCACTCGCCTTTCATGGCATTGCCCTTGCTTTACCATTATAAGCTTTATAAAGAAAGTGATAAATAACAATAAAATTATAAAAACAATATTAAAAATTAAAAAGGATCATTTTCTCATTTCTACTAACCTTTCATATAGCATCTCATAATAGTAAGTAATTTAAGACTAAATTTCTTTATCTCAAATTTTTGTTTCTTTTTTGAGTGCTACTCTTTGAGTGTATTTATGAAGGAAAAAAGAGAAAACTGATGGTCAGTAAAGAGATCACTGTCACTGCACTCCACTAGAAAGAAAAATAGAGATATTGTTTATATGTAACACAGAGAAAACTACAAGCATGCTGCCTTGAAGCTTTCATCTTTTCTGTATCCTTTAACCAACCTGGGGACTATCCAGCTGTGAAGTATTCAGCTCTGTACCAAAATTTTCACCACATTCATTAGGAAAATAATATTCATTGAAAGTCAAAGCTTGTACATAGAAAGACAGATATGCTCTTGTAATCTTTAATTTCTTCATTACCTTAAGAAAGTACATTGGCTTTTGGCATTTCTGTCTTATCAAACCTTCTCCTCCTTTAAAGACTAGTGAAAGCTCAAGCTGTCTGTATCGGCAGTAGATATCTAATGATAACAGGTGATGCAGAATCAGAATCATAGAATAGTTAGGGTTGGAAAGGACCTTAAGATCATCAAGTTCCAACCCCCCTGCCATGGGCAGGGACACCTCCCACTAAATCATGCCACCCAAAGCTCTGTCCAACCTGGCCTTGAACACCACCAGGGATGGAGCAAGGATGTGTCCTTTATCAAAATAAAATTCTTTTGGAAAGTATTCATTAGTAATTAGAGTTGGATTTTCAGAGTCAATAAAAGCTAAAATACAGGAGAAGCTACTCACAATTTCATGATGCTCATAGAATCTGTAATAAAAAGCAATGGACTATGTATTCCAAAGAGACTACAGTATATCAATAGACATGTCTGCAAAAACACCTAACACCGCTGAAGCGCTAGCATGTATTTTGTTTACTGTATTTTATTCAAGGAAAGGATAAACAAAAGCTAGTGTAGTGACACCTCAGCTGACAGTTAAATTTAACATACAACCATGTATGGCCAGGCTTCATAACACACCAACCTGCTAGTCAAACTAACAGTATTTCTATTTTAAGTTAAATGGAAGGGGATTAGGGAAGGAAAACTCCCTCTATTGACCACTGACATTGTTTATTACATAAAAGGTGATTGCTTAAAGAAAATTCCATCGCCTTTTGCTCCAGAAAATGTCTTGGTTTGCTGTTAACCCTTCTCCCATTAACAGTGTAGCCACATATACACCACTTCTTACAGAGGCATAGAGAGCCTTTTGCATGATTGAGGGCAAGAACTTTGTAATGTGCTACCTTTATCTGTCATATTTTGGTCTACAGCAGTAAATTTTGTATGCTTATACTGACTACTCCTGGAAGTATGGTAAAGATGTGGCTTTTTATAAAAAGATAAGGTACACAGAAATGGTATCTAAAGAAAATACGGTAATAGAAGAGAACAGGCTCAAACAACAATGAACAGCTCACAGTCAAATCCCAAAGCATTAGAAGATTTCAGGCTGTGTCGATAGACTACAAATCCACCATGGATCAAATTATTCACCCATTTACTGTGGTCCCTCGCTTGGCATGGCAATTAGTTCAACTGTGGAAGGCTACTTGAGTACATTCACAATCCCTATATATTCTCTGCAGCACAAATGGACTTTGGAAAGGAAGAACTAGATACAGGCTACCCTATGCAAACAAAATAACAATTACTTTCATACAGATATTACAGTTGTGTCTGAAAATAAAATGCGAGTAAAAACAATCTAATCTACTTTGCACTCTGAGCAATGTGAGGCAAGTCGTTTAACCTCTTTATGCCTCTGTTTTGTCATCTTTAAAACAGGGATCATGCTACTTCCTTTATGAGACTCACTGCCTAGTTTTTGGACCTGATAGTGTCATGAATTTTCCTGTTATGTGTAACATACATGTGGAGCTGGGAAATTCTATGTACCCTTGTAAGACAATGCTCTCTCATTAGGCCATCTTAACATGCAAAAACCTGATCTGCCAAGCAAAATGTTATGTTAGCAAAAACTCACTTAGGCAAAACAATATCCACAAATAGCAGAAAAACAGATCTGATCTTTAACACATTCTTGAGGAACAAACCTGAGCAGACTGATGATAAAAATAATGTCATTGGGTAGGCCTGATCTGCAGGAAGAAATTTTTCTATTCTTTAAAGAAACAAACAGAAGAAAATTCCTATTTTTAAAATTATGATTTGAAATGGCTGTTAGAAAAATTATGAAAACCAAAATTATTTCACCTTGTTTTCCCACCAGTTCTGACTCACAGCTACATGACACAGTTTTTAAAGTTTACAGTAAAATGCTGCAAATCCTGTAGTAATGAAAGATAGTTTGTACATGCATAAATAAAATGCTTTATACTTAGCCATAAGTCTCAGTCTCTTCCCCAAAACTGTTTAAAGTAATTTTGGTTACAATTAGCAGCCCCTCAGAACATAATTATTCTATGACTGGCAATTTTGCAGTAAAGACTCCTGTCCTGTCAGATGGATTTTAAACAGAAAGGTCATTTTGGATAATAATCTCTATGATTTTATCTCCCTCTCCCCCACAAAGTTAAAAGCTTGAGTTAAGACATGATGTCTTACGGGAAAGGAACATGTTTTCTTCTAGTGTTTTAGAAATGTACTATAACCTTGACCTACACAAATAACTTCTGGAGGCAAAAGTGCAGTTTTGTTTCTCAGAGTAAGTCCTTGGCTTTACTCTGAAATTCCTCAGAAGGCTGCTGATCATAGCATCAAACGAAAAGGTGATTTTTAACAAGTTTTGTGCTTGAGTCTGTAGGATTTGCTCATCTAAAGCACAGTGCTGCTTTTTCTTTTGCATTTGCCTGCTTCCACTCAGTGTAAGCAGGTCCTTGGTAACCTTTCAGCTGACTAGTGTCAATGATAATAACAATACATTTTTATTTTTAGAACACTCAAATCTAAAGGCAAGTTAGCTCTGCACATGTGTGCATGCACACACAAATGTAAGTAATATCTGAATGCTTCCAAAGGACAACAAGTCCTTTTGGAATAGTAATGAATAGAGAAATCATCTTGTGCCCTGCATGAGATAGGTGCATTTCAAAATTTTCCTGTATAGCTTCCATGAAAATTGGCCCCTAAGCAAGGGTGTGAGTCATTGATGAATACAGCTCTAAGGCTTCATGCTGTGCAGCAAGAGCTGTAAAAGGCATTAGAGGAACACAGGGGAGGAGGAGGAGAGAGAGAGGGGGTTAGGAGGTTATTAAATAAAACCTAGTAATGGTTTTACATGAACATTTTCTGAACAGTGTTTTGAAAACGTACATCCTAACCCACTGGGCACCATTCAGACTGCTGGCTGCAGTGCCCTCTGTTGGCTGATGCTCAAGGTGGCTGTATAGAACCTTCGCTGCTGACATAAAATAAGCTTTTGTCTATACTTAGAGGGATTTGTTGTTACAGCTACCCTAGCAGATTCTCAGTGAAAACTCACATTGTACAAGTAAAACCAATTGCCTTATGCTGGTATGCCTTACAGTAATTTTCCAAATTAATCTTGCAGATAAAGGATGTTTTTTCTCCTCTGTACACATATCCATGGCACAAAAGCCCAGCCCACAGCACTGTGCCATCAAAAATCACAGCCTTTACCAGCACAACTATGCAAAAAGTATAGGATGGGCCAAAGAGAAACCTATTGGTGACAAATCTAAACTTCCTCAAACTTCAGAGGTATTTGATTTTGGCTCATATTTGTCTTCTTTTTCCCTAAGACCAATGTTTTAAAATTGGTGTCACTTTATATCATTCACTGGTTATCCATAGTCTTTGTATAACTGACAACACATCATACCTGGATTATGAGCAATTTCCCTTTTTATGCAACCATGTTTCTACTATCCAAGTCAGGAGATCCAGGTTTCAACAAAGGCATTAGATTTTTAGTCAATACTTCAGTCATTGTCATGCCAGATTCTCTATCGTTCAGATTTCCTGAATGTTCTGATCTCATACTCACCTATGCGGTCCCCTCAATCTCTCTTCCCATTTTCACTTCTTCCATTGCGTTAGCAGTCTTAGTGCACCCATCTGAAAGAAAAGATACAATGTGTCCCATTACATCCCATTATCAAACACCCTGTGACTTACAGAGGAGAAGGTTCATATGGGAAACTTATTATAAATAGTGATTAAATGACACTAACTGCCTATACTGGGCTAGCTACAAATAATCAAATAACCCTTTAAATGAGCCTTTTTTTTGGAAGACGGCTTAGATGTACAGACAGGGAAAAATGTTTTCCTGTATTTTGGATAACAGAAGTATCACTTGTTAGAAAGCCAACCATAATTAAAATGTTTATTTTCACACAGATAACCATTTAAGGAGCTTGGGCATAAACAAACAAACAAAAAAAGATTTATTCTTTTGCGCAAGAGGAGCTATAAGTCTTTTGAAGGCCAGAAACTGCAGTTTTATATTTATGTAATTTGAACAAATGGGTGCAGTGGTCTACATAATTGAAAATTCAACCCAAAAGGAACGTTGACAGAGGAAAATAGTTTGTCATGTTACCATTACTTTTGTTTCTTTAACAGCTTTAAAACTAACATATATAATTTAGAAAAAACAAAAAAAATGAAAAAACAACAAAAAACCCTACATCTTTGTGTGTATATATACATACACATATATTTAAGAATGGGAATTATATATTCCCTTTTAACCAAGTGTGAATAACTGGTGTTGTTTAAAAAAAAAAACACCACAAACAAAAACCACAAAAAACAGAACAAAACCCAACAAACCCAAAACAAAACCCCCAGCAAAACCACCCTGAAATACACAGGCATGCAGCACCATCTGCTGGATTAGCCTGTCTGTCAAACATTTAGGCATTTACAGAGTACATTACCACAGGCAGAAGCAAAAAGCTATACCAACAAAAGCATACCATGGAGATTTGTTTAGTAAGGCTCAGGCAAGAGAAATCAAGGGGTGTAGAATTTCCATGAAAATTGTAAAGTAATACTTTTTACTTATATAACACTATACTTTTTTGGGCACCATGTATAAACACAACATTCACAAAACCATGAACAGAGGCACCTAACAACCACAAAAATTCAAAAGTTTGGTATGTGTTTTAAATAGCTTAATCAAGATTGATTTAATTTGGTTTCTTGTATGTATGTGTCATGATACATGACTATAAATTACCATTTTTTCCACTGGATGCCTGTCTTTCTTAGTGAATAGGTCTGACTGCTCACCCAGTAACAAAGAGCTATCCAATAATTTGCTGTCTTCTTCTCAGGCACTACGTGGTCTCGTGTTATTTAACAAACAAGCTCTGTGTGGATAATACAAGATTATCAGGTGCTCATCACTGCAATGCCACATTGTATTACAGACATTAATTTAAAATCCCTGCAAATTGAGTTGCATTTATTTTTCAGTGAGTAAATAGAGGTCCTTATTTTGGGTAGGAAAATAAGAGGGCCCTAATATGTACACAGCAATGTGCCATTGTAATCTCTGCTGTCTTTCTAGTAGCTTGTAGTGTCTTTGGAATTCAACCTTTTCATTCAGCCAGATCACCTAACTGCACTCTGCAATACCTAGCTCTTGGTACGCTATCCTCCAGCAGGTCAAAAAGCACAGTACTTAGCAGGCAGTCCTTTCACCTGACACCTTCCAAACAGCTGAAGCTTCTGTCTTGTTATCACACCAATGCATCACCTCTGCACTGATCCCTTTTGTGCTTATTCCCATCTCTGATACAGTGCTGAGAGCTGCAGGTCCTAAGAATTTATTTTGAAAAGCCATCTGTCTACACGTCAATCTTCTAGAAGTCTCCTCCACATGTACTAGAATCAAGAAAACATCTATCTTAAGAAGCCTGATTTTTCTGCCTACAGAAATTTCCCTTCTTCTCAATGGCCATATATCCCAGCTATCTTTTATCCTCCTGCAGCTGACCATCTTTGTCTTGTCCATGCTGGTAGCATAGGTAAATCATTCCACATTCCTCTGGAGGAAACTACATTTTCTTGCCAAGCTTGCTTATTCAAAAATATTATTCAGCACATCTTAGAACTGTCCATAGCCCACGGTGCCATGTAAGACAACAGAGGCAAAAAATATCTTCCACATGACCTCTGTATTTGTTTCACAGGTGGCTGGAGGCTCTGACCCGCTACCATTCCTCTATTTTTAAGAAAACAGATTGTTCTCAGATTGTTCTTTTTCTGTCAATGCTGTTAAGAATAGCTTCAGACTTTTCTCAGGTGAATGATCAGTGAAGTGACCAACAAAGACCAGCAATAATCTGCACAATACTGAAAGTTGCTATTTTGGAGCACCCTCATCAGGTCTTCCACAGTTCTTCACTTTTCTTCTCTGGAAATATTATTCCATAACACATGCAGGTATCTAGCAAGATCAATGCCTGCTGCTGCAGTCAGTGTTTCAACTTTTCCATAATCCTGTGTTTTATTACGAACCTCACCTTGCTCCTCCAAACCACACCCCAATCATTTGTCAGTGCTTATTGCCGTTTTGCTCAGCACTTTCTAATCATGCTTTGCTTGATTCCTTTAATGTCTTTTCAGACACTTCAGCCAGACAGTGCGGTAAAGAGTTACCCACAGAGGGTTCCTGAAGTAAGATTATGCGTCCAGTCAAGGCCGGCATGCTTTTCTCCATCTATCAGTGATGGAACTCAAAGGCACAGTATAATTTACAACCCAGAAGTACAAATAGGTTCAAAAAAAGTAACAGCCAAGGTTGGAAAGGTTATAGCATAAATGTTGATGGTCACCTGGATGCAATCTCTGACTCAGGGAACCTCCCTCTTGGTCGTTAGGGCATAATGCCAGAGGCCTATTCACAAACAGGACATGTCCCACATATGATCCTAGAAATCGGGTATTAAGTGTTATCAGAGCAGGTGAGCTACTCTGCCTGCTCTGAGCCCAGGTTTGATACAGCTGCGCCGCAAGCTGGCGCGGAGACACTCGAGTCGCTGGGTCTGATGCCTTCCGCCTCAGCACGCTTACAAGCGGCTGCCGGCAAGGCCATCGTGTTCAGACATGTCTGGTAACCCCGCTAACAACAGTCCTGCTCAAGAGCGGATATATAGGCGCTCAGACCAGCCGCTTCAAATTTACCTAACTTGACGTAGCATCCCCTCACTGAGGAGCTGCCAACGGCTGGCGCGAAACAGGGCGGGGCGGGAGGCGGCCTCCTCCGCGGGCACTTCCCGTTTGCTCGGCCACGGGGGCTTGCCGTTGCTAAGGGGACGGGCAACGCCAGGCGCGGCGCGGGCCAGCCGCGCTTCCCCAGTGCCTGGCGGTGGCCATGGACAGCATTAGCAGTAACTCCACCGCCTCAGTGCTGGCTGAGCTCTGCTGGGACGATGGCTACGCCGTCCCCGTTGCCAACACGGAGAACAGGGCCCTGGAGAACGAAGTGAGAGCGGGCCTGAGGCCGGGGGGGGAAGAGGCATTCACCTCCAGCCAGCAGCTCCAGAGCGCTGCTCCCACCGCACCGCCCTCTCGGCTGAAGGGGGTATCGACGTCCTGTCCCTGTCTTCCCGCCTCGGGGCGCGGGGCGGCACGGAACCCTCCCAACCACTGCCGGGGTGCGGGGCCCGGGGACGGGGGGGGGGGGCGAGTTAAAGCCCATGAGCTCTGCGAAGGGAACGGGTGGCGATGAACTAGTCTTAGAACGTGGGACCCGCGTGCCTGCAGACCTTGTGCCGCGGAACCCTGTCCTGTCTTCGGCGAGGGGCAGCGTTCCGAGCGTCCCGCCCGCCCGCCCTCATGAGGCTGGCGAGGGCCTGTGGAGCCCGGAATGCAGCTTTCCTTAGCAGAGCCGGGAATGTTCTGAAATCCCGCATTTCACAGCGTTGGGGGAACCTAGTGCACGGTTCTTATGTTTTGAGATTAGTAATTGTAATGACTGTATTTTTAAGTAGATGCAGGTAACCAGCACTCAACTAAAAATACTTGACAATTCTAACCCTTAAATAGCTGCAGAAGATGCAAAAAGAAAAGCTAAACCTGCAAAATGAGTTGACCAACTTTGAAGAACGTATAGGAGCAATGACATCCCACTTGAAAAATGTGAGACAAGAGTTCAGCCTCACTCAGGTAAATTGCTACCTGTAGCAGATGCGTTTTATCAGGCAGACTTGTAACCTGAGTATCTTTATATGCTGGTTTCCCTATGTATTTTGCCAACCTTATTAGAGCTTTGTCAGGCCTTTATTCCAGACTTCTAAAGGAAACAAACTGTATATCTCAATGCTATTACTTGATGGTCATTAAAAAGACCATCCAAGATCAAATGCACCTAGAAGAAAGCTAAGAAGGATACATTTTAGAATTTGTTTATGAACGGGAATTTTTGTAGATGCTAAGAAAACAATTGATGAAAGAAAATAAAACATCAGTGTAAGGGGACAAAATAGATTTAGAATGTTTATAATGGTCAAGACTTAACTGTGAAGTATTAGTGAAGACTTAATTTGTGGACATGAAAAATGAAGTCTCATGAAGTCTAGTCTTACACTGAGTTAATTGGCCAAAATGGGTGATTTAGGGAATTTTATTTGTTGTGGTTTTTTTAATATATATATATACTTTTTGTTTATTGTGAAATTATAACTGTATTATTCTCTAGTCTCTTTACAAAGCCAGAGAGAATGCAATTGAAACTGAAAAACACTTTAAAGCCCTTGCTGAGAGAGAACATGGACGTCTCAAAAGTGAGATTAAACGACTGGAAGATGAGATAGTTTCCTTAAGAGTAAAGAAAAACAGTCATGAAGTAAGGTTTTAAAGTTTTGCAAGATAACACCAGTATTGAAATTAGATTTTATAATTTGTCCTCACTTGCACTTACAGAAATAATGTAACTCAAGTATTGCTAATTATAATTAAAAGCTATAAACAATAATAAATGATCTAGGTGTGCTTTTCCTTGCATAGGCAAGTAGAGTAACACTGACTAACTCCATGCATAGACTGGTCAAGACTTAGCAAATATGAGCTAGGTATTGAAAGACTTCTGGTTTTGGTGTTCTAAATGCCAGATACACAGCCACACATCTATATTGTTAAGACTCGCAGGTATTTTCTTTATGGTTTAGAAAAGACATTTTTGATGGCAAATCATCTTTGCATAAAATAAACTTGGGGCATGATTTCAGCATAAAAAAATTGCTTTAGGCAAACAACAAAAAAGTAATTCTATTGAATTACAGTTGCTTTTCTGTTTAATGGAACTGTTCCATTTCCTTTCCATGAATAATTTGTGTTTATTTTTTTATTTGCTGGCTATGTCTCTTCTCATTATGTCTGTTTGTAATCTCCAGTCTCTCAGAATGGGTAGCAGGATTGAGATATCCTTGTATACAGCTGGATCCTGATTCTCCAAATTTGTGTCAGGAAGTCTCTTCAGAGTCATGTGGGGCCATCTGTAAATTCATATGCAGGGTAAAGGATCTAAGAACTGAGGCTTAGTTTGTGAGGGAGAAATTTTACTCTATGATGCCTCAGATCAGTTCATTATGTGGAATAAATATCTCACATATGTGTATATCTTGCCAGAGGCTGACTTTCTTGTTTAAAATTATTTGCATTTTAAGTTTGTGGTAACTTACTGTCTTCTTTTTTCTTTAAGACCCAAATGTCTATTTGCTAATAGACATCCCCAAGTATAATACACATTTAACAAAAAAGAAAAAGCTAGCAATACTGTTGACAAGATGTGTGTAAACTTTTTACAGTACCTTGAGCTGTTTGTTTCAGTTACTATTCAAAGAATATTAGATATTTAATATTAAATCCTTTTCTCCAATTTTATTAGAATACTATAAATAAAACCACTAAGAAGTTGGAAAACTTGAAACAACAGATGAACTGTGATGAGGAAGTTCTGGAGAACTGGATAAAGGAATCAAATCGTAAAGATAATGATGCCATCACAATCCAGAAGTATGCACAAAAAGATGAAGGGAAACTAGGAGTAAGTAGCAATGACAGTGATTTTCAGAAACAAGAGAAAGAACCATTTTAGTATTTGCAGACCTTGTTACGTTATCTAGTCTAGTAAGATTGAGACAAGATTTTGTACAACAGCGCTTTTAAACTGGTTTCTGCTTAGCTCAACAGGGCAATTCTATAGGAGGCTCATTTTAGAGGTCAAAAAGAACAAGTTTTATAAAAGATGGAAGGCATAATTAAAGGCATTAATTTTTTCATCTGGGTAAAATTAAAGGGGTTTTTGTTTGTTTGTTTTTTTGTTTTATGAAAAAATGTGCAAATAAATAATAAAGTGTGAAAACAGTGCTACTGAATTGTTCATTAAAATGCATGCCAAATATGAGCAGATAATGTAGCTTTTCCCATTTGAAATGAACTTGTTAATGTTACTGAGAGCAAAGTACACCTACTTCAGTAAATCTACCTGGAATAAGGAAAAATGGTATAAATAGATACTCCACTCACAATTTCAGACTTTATATGGGTCAGTGCTCAAGTATATTTTTAATTTCGAGATAGGTAGGTAACTCAGGTTAATATTCTTTTGAGTCTTTACGTACAGGGAGGAGGAGTTTTCTTTTTACTAATTAAATACTGAATCCCAAATCTTTAGCTTACACATACAGTTTCACTGATGCCATTTACATTAGCAAGTGGCACAACATAGGAAGAAGAGTAAAGCAAAATAGCTGATGCAGAGAATGCCACATACACATTTACACACAGTGTAGGGTTACTTTGGCCTTGCTGCCGTCTGATCCTCAAAAATGTAGGAGGCTAGATTCTCAGGTGTTTGTTCTCTAAAATACAATAAACTGATGCCTCAATATTCATCCCAATGTACTAGAGCCTTAAGAATTTATAAGTTGTTATATATTTATTTTCAAATACATAAACTAGATGCTCTTAAGGTCCTTTCCAATCCTAAACATTCTATGAATTTATGATTATATTTTCATATCCTTTTATTTTAGGCATTAATCCTTCAAGTAGACAAGTTGACCATGCAAGCAAATCAGAAGCGCAAAGCTCTTGATAATGAACTTACAGAAACCATAACAGCACAGGTTAGTGCTTAATGTTCTTGAAGATACCTTGTTACACATGAAATGTTTAACATCAGAAATAATGGGGGTGCTTTCTTATAAACAGATAGAGCTTGACAAGACAGCTGAAGATTTTCGCAGAGTTCATCAAGAAAGGCAAGAAGTCATCAGGCAGTGGGAGAATGCAATACAACAGATGCAAAAGAGAGATCAACAGATTGATCACTGTGCTTTGGTAAAACTGCTGTCACTGATTCCTATCTGTGTATCAGCCTGCTTTTGTGTCTATGATATTGTTAAGACGTTTGCTCTTCACACATAAACTGGTTGGTTGTTTTAGATGTTCAGTGGTTTCTTTGTGTCTACCTCTATTGTATCGAGGTGTTTCAAAGTTCAGGTATTACTGAAATATATTCAAAATTTATTTTGAAAGCAGTATCTCTCAGTGTAAGTAACGGTGCTCTGCTCGATACTATGCAAGCTTTAATTTTTTTATCTCAAGGTTGTTGGAAAATGCAATGCATGCCATTATCATCTTTGATTTAAGAAGCAACAAGATGGAATGATGTTTGTAGAGATTAAGGACAGTCAGCTGCAAGAGGGGGATTCTTTGTCTGGGCTGAAATATTGAAAGAAAACAGAATGCTTGGAATGGAAGGAATTGGCATTTCTAACTCTGTGAACAAATGCCTGACTAACATTTATGTCAAAATTATGGTAAATAATCACGTTAAGGTTAAAAATTGGTCCTTGCATACATTCTGCAAATGGGGAGAAGCAACACCACTCTTCTAAGCAAAAAAAGATCTTATTTGGATCTTTTAGTTAGTATGAATTAGTTTTGATTTCTAAAATATATAGTCTTCATTGGTTTTGTCAGTACCTTGCGCACAGATGGTACAATGGCAAGAGGTACAAATGAAGTATATTTTGTTCTGGATTTGTCAAGAGAAGTGTGAGCTCCTCTGAAAGTTCTGCTGGGCAATAGGACAGATGGACCAGAAAAAGCCTAAAGGATCAGTGCAGAGGAAAAAAATATATTAATGTGGGTTCGAAAGTAACAATGGCTTTTTTTTTTGAAGA